TTATGCTTTAAAGTGAAACAGATGTAAAGCCAGCCAAATTTTCTTTTTTATAGCTAGATAGAGTGATCGAAGAGATCAAACACCGTAAAGTGTGCCAATTTAAGCCCTTTACTAGGGAAATCCTCGAAGATAGAGATATGGCAGGAGGTTTTGGAAAGTCAGCTTGTGGTTATATAGAGGTGGAGGAGATTAGCGGAAATTGCATATGTCTTTGGTAATTAAATGTAGATGGCGTATTTGTGGTATCCACTAAATCCAGCTAAGAGATATTACTATCGGAAAGTTTTAAGCTAACCTAACAATTTTTTGCCTAAATTTTAATTAATGTAGACCTAGTTTCTCTTCAATTATAAAACAATTTATAAAACAGTACTAGTGTAAATTTGTTAATCTATAATTCATTTCATGATGTTTTTGAATGAAGAGTGATTGCGAATTGTTTTATTTTCAATTTGTACAAACTCTAAATAAAATTTTATAACAATAAACATATCAATATTATAAAATCAGGACCACGTTGCTTAATTTATATTTTTTTAATTTATTTATTATTGGGTAATTTAGTTTTAGACAATCATCATCATAGTTTTAATTTGGTTAACTATTTATTCTTATTAACTATTTATTTTTCTATGACGTATTCTGTTAAATACGATTTACGCATATACAGGATGTTTCAGAATTCGCGCCCCAGAGAAAAATGTCAACTAAGTTAAGATACCAGGAACATAAAAAAAATGTTAAAAAAAATGGTAAGTGTAAGAATTTCGAAAATTTGTAGGTAAAAATTTTGCCTACATATTTATTTTTGCCTATTTATTTCTGCTAGCAAAATAATTTTACATGTTTTTTGGTGCAAGCAAAATTGTGTGACTATGTTTAACGTTATTTGCGGTTTTTATTGGCCAAGTTTTTGTACCTTTACTGAATAATTATGAAATAGTATATTTAAGAACGCGTTTCGTTATGCAAGTTTTGTGGAACAAGTTTAGGTTTATAAAGCGAGCCAAAAAGGGCGAGTTTTATAAAGAAGGAGCTCCCACAAATGACTTATGAAACAAGTTTTACTAACTATTTTTCTATATTGCGCGTTTTACGTACTTTTTTAACATAAAAGTCGATTTTTCAAAATTTAGAAAGTTTTGCTCTAATAAGGTGATAGTTGGTAATAAATGTCATAAAATTTGAATTTTCAAGTGTCAAGTCTCGAGTATTTTTCAAAATTGTGTTGAATTAACAATGAATACTATAAATATTTCATGCACATCACCTGAAATAAGAGAAATCGCTCAAAACGCCGCTGAAAATTTACTTAATTGTTAGTCTATTTCAGCACCCGAATTGGTGTTGAAATGGCTTATTAAAGCATCGGTTTTAGTATCAAAATAAGCTTCAGGCGCAAAATAGAAAAAAACATTTATACAAGCTCATCAGTAACATTAAATAGGCATAAAAAGGTCAAATGTCAAATTTTTTTGAGAGATAGAATTTTTTTTCATGTTCCTAGTATCTTATCTTACTTGGAATTTTTCTCTGAGACGTGAGTTCTGAAACACCCTGTAGAGAGTGGGAGATTTCCATACCCGATCTTTATTCATTTATTCGATCAAATTAAAGTGAGCAAAAATTGCATTTCATTACGTTTAAGTAATTTCTTTTACCAGATTTGCAAAATACACCTGTAATTATTTGTACCTATAACTGATACCGCTTTAGCAATGCTACCAACCTCATTAATCACGATCAGATCCATCGATTAAAATTCTCATCTCGCATTAAATCTCCCGATGAATTCAAGCACAAAGTTAACACGCAATGCCACCCGGAGAGTTACTTATTTCCCCCACCGGCTTTTTCTTGTTTTACTTTTTACTACCGCCGCTAATTAGAAAAGTCAAAAGTCGTTCGGTAACCGAATTAGGGGCGCCTTCACCATTTAATTCGATTACAATCTGCTCTTAAAGGAGTGATTTTATCCGACCAAAAAACTCGTTTGGCACTGAAATATTACGGTTCTGACCCGGCGCCTCCACCATTTTGATGACTTTGATGTTTTTGATGTTCGGAGATGGGAAATTTGAACGCTTTGTTTTTCGGTGAGCAGTTCGTAAAGTGTTTCAAAATGATAAACATGCACACAATGTTATTAAAGCAATACAGTTATAAGGAAAGGATAATAAAGAATAAAACTAAAGCGGAAAAAAAGCAAACTGTTATGTGTATTACACACGATGATTAACTTGAAAGAACAATAAAACGTAAACTGTGTATAAAAAAGTAAAAAACACAGTCTGTTTCACGTCTTTATTGCACACATAAAAGAAAAGAACAAAAAATAGGAAATACAAAAATTATTAACTCATAGTCATAGTCATTGTTACCAATGAACAAAATTACACAAGGGAAGACAAGCTTAGCCACAGCCACAAGTGCATGTAATGGCAAATATCGCACAGTTTGGAAATTTAGGTAAGTTATGTTGGTACAAAACTTCTAATTCTAAATACCATGCGTTCAATTACATTTCTCATCAAGGTAGCTTGTAACTTTGAAATTAGATTGGCAACCATGAATAATGACAGAGATTTGTATGTACGAAGTTGACATATTGATTACAAAAAAACCCATTGGCAACATTGCGATGATGGTGATAGCAACGGCGGCGGCGTTGGAAGGAATGACATTGTTGCCAAATTAACATTTGGACAAAAATGACTATTAATCAATCTTTACCTTAGATTTATACATTATTAATGTTACCACCTTAATTTCAAATTCACAATTTCTTAGAATATAATTTTAGAACAGACAGGGTGAATATAAAGTATAGAACCAAGCGGTTTTCTGCCTCCAGAAACTAATAATTAAGATAAATTAAAGTAATATAAGTAGAACCTTTATGAGAAAAATGGTTTTATAGTGGGCTGCCACAAAAAAAATGTTTGGTAGGACTCAAAAACAAAAATAAATTTCGAAAAATTTTATCTTTGATAAAACATCATATTTTTATAGTACTTTATTATTCATTAATTAGGTTTTCCAAAAAATTAATAATGTAAGCAAAAAAGTTTGGTTCCATACTGTTTATTCACCAGGTATAATAGTTTCTACTTCAGCTAAATAGATGCTATGTAAACAAATATTTTAGTTACAAGTCGTAAAGCAGCGATAAATCGATCAATGACTTGTAGCAAAAACTCCCTCAACAAAATCTACAAATTAGTTTTGGTCATACGATATTCACATTTGTAAATACAATACGTTCTCTTTTTTGTTTATGTCTCCTCTGTAACAATTTTTCATTAAAACAGAGCAATAATTTATCGGTGTATGTGGATTGATTTACATTTCGTCAGAGGAAATATTATTTATTGACATTACAAACATGCAAACTGAGACCTTGAAACTAATAATCTAGATAAAAGAAATAAAATAAATAAATTACAGGTAAACGTAACAAGTTCATTTTGAAATTGTATTTAAGTAAGAAATTTGTTGAGTTTGAAATCGGGCCAAAATTTCCATTATAATTTTTATTATCTGTATATATTTATATAGAAGATGATAAATTAAATTTTGCAATCCCATGAGGTCCAATCTTTCAGAAAAAACGAAGACACCCCTAATTTGAAATGCAAATGCCCATTTGAACTAACTCTACCTTGTATATATTACCAAAATCGCCAATAAATTTACTTCAAATCTTGAGACACGAGTCGAATTTTAAAAAAGCTTAACCCTTAAATTCTGATAAAAAACCGGTTTAACAAAGCTGTGATAATCTAATAATAACGATACTAATTGTGATTAATTACTGCTGAAAGTCATTATGTCCAAATAACCGGAAAATGTATCAATAATTCTTCATAATAGGCCATGAGCTATTAGAAAAATTATTCAGGTCAGTCGACAACTAATGAGCAATAATCACACGAATATTATTACATACGACTATACAAGAGTCTATTTCTTGATCCATGAAGGTTATTATTATTATTAGAAATGAGGTTTAGCTAAAATTAAAATAATCGAATTTTACGTTTAGTTCAAACTTTTGTAGTTATTTCCGTGGAAATAGTGATCGATCCGACAATGCATTTACCCGTTTAATGACTCAATTTTTTGTATGTGACACTGGCGTTAATAAATATAAGTGTTTGTTTTTCGTGCTGAAAGCACGAATATCATATCTGCAGTGTCGCTAAAAATAAACATCCAAACAAAACTTGGCATGCCAAAGAAGTAGTAAAAGTTTGAAGATAAATTGTGTAATCCCTCGGGTTATAACTCTGTCGACATAAAGAGATAGTTTGCGAATTGGTTCTGTGGCTTTTAGAATCAGAGAAAAAAATAATTCGTTAAAAGCAATAAAACTAATTACGTTATAAAATATTAATTAATTATTAAAAATTTTGTTACTTCTTGTTTATTGAGACTACAATTGTCATTGTCTGAATGCAAAAAAATATCTAAACAACAAATTAAAAAAAAATATTTTAAAAAATAATTGTTTTATTTAAAAAATTCTCAACCTCGGTGGTCACATTATGACGCAACTGTTTAACTTAATTACTCACTTTACATCTAGCGTTTAGATTAGATAATATTTTTAGAATTCTGAACAAAGTACAATTTACAGAATTACTAATCCAACCCCTAAAATAAACTTGCATAAATTTAAAAGACCAAAAAAATATATAATTACGAAAGCATACATTTAAAGACACGTTAATTTATGCTCCCATGAAAGAAATGTTTGAAATGATTTCCGCTACTTGGTAAACAAATGCCCTGCCAATCCTCCTATCTCACTAAATTAGCTTTTTATCCGTGCGAGAAACAGAGGTGCGAATTTATCAGAATTGCAACAAAGCGCTTCAAGTTTTTGTTTCGAAAAAAACTAGTTTTCAATTTGTCAATATTGTTTTGTTGATGGTGTTGTTTTAATTCGGGGGATTTTAAGCAAAATATGAGCAAAATAATTAAAATTGAATACTTACAGCAAGAATAGTAAATTGTTGGGTTAGTTGAAAGCAGAAGATTCCTTCAAACTTGCAGTCTGAAAAATAAACATTTATTAACATTTTTTTAATTACTTTTTGAATTACTTCTCAAAATACTAGATTTTTTAAAACCTCATTAACGTAAGACTCAATGACACAAATTTAAAAAAAAATTATTAAAATTATAAACAATACAATACGCTAGCGTTTTAATACTTTTATAATCTCTTTACATATGTAACATTCAATTCTAGTCGTTACACGTAGCTGTATTTCTTTCTTTGAAAACAAGCCAAACAATATTTTGAACGGATTTTCGAAAGGTTATTTACAAAGAAACAATTTAGTCGGATTCCACTGTCTCTATGTTTTCAATTACCTGTTTTGTGACAGTAAATCGACGCTAATCCTCTCACGTTTAAGGAAAAATGTTAGCTTGCAAGAAACGTGACGGATATTTTGAGCATAAGAAAATCTTATTATAATGTTATATTTAATTTATTGAACTGAGAACTGCACGAGTTGTTTAGAAACGTCATTATAATTTTCATTTTATTTTGTATCATCTGTAAATTTCATAAGGTGTACCGATTGTGGTAGAAAAAGAAAGAGCTCAAGAGATATTTAACTAATCAACAATTATCAACCAAACAAAATCGACAGTGATTTGAAAATTAAGTTAGCAACATTCATTAATACAGGATGCGCTAGAACTTGACCCTAAAGAAAAATGCCACGTAAGGTAAGATACCAGAAACATGAAAAAAATGTTAAAAAAAATTCTATCTATAAAAATAAAAAAGTTCAAAATTTGCACTTTGACTATTTATTTTTGTTGAAAAAATAATTTTCTAAGTTTTTTGCTACAGGCTATTATAGAAGAGGAAACAAGAAAGCTGTATCCTAAATTGTAACTCTGTTTAATGTTATTTGTAGCTTTTATTGGTAAAATTTTTGTACCTTTACTAAATAATTATAAAAAACATATACAAGATCATCACTATCATTAAATAGACATAAAAAAATGTCAAATGTCAAAAAATAAAAATCAAAATTTTTTGACACATGACAATGACATATGTTATATGACAATTTTTAAACATCTTTTCCATGTTTCTGGTATCTTATTTTACTTGAAATTTTTCTCTGGAGCGCGAGTTCTGACACACCATGTGTATTAACATGACTCATATCTTCCGTCTCTATCTTATTCAAGGTTGCCAACGTAATTTTATAATAACAGCCTACTTTGAAATTTATAAAAAAGGCAGGATTCTTGAAAACTTTTTCCATTTTTATGGTATTCCACTATCCATTAATAATGTGCTTAAAGAGCAGTCTGCAAAACGGGTGAATATAATTTTTTTAGGGTAAATATGGTTTGTTTTTAGATTTTTTACTTTACGTTTTTAAATTGTTTGATACATATATGTATGAACAAATTCACGATTAGCCCGTCACACCAAACTTTTATTTAAAACACAACGCGTTTCAACCACAAAGTGGTCATCCTCAGGTGAGAATAAAAAAAAATTCAAACGTTGTGTTTTAAATAAAAGTTTGGTGTGACGGGCTAATCGTGTTTTTGTTCATCGTTTCCATACCAAGAAGATCCAAGAAGAAGAAAAACATATATGTATGTTTTTACTTTTTACTTTTTTTCTAATTAGTCTGAAAATATAATTAAAGTGGGGATACTTTTTTAATGTGGAACTGTAAATAAATTCTATTGACTTTAGAATAATAAAAAGTAATTTGTTGTTAATCAAAATATATTTTAAAACAGTTTTGGAATATTGGTAGTAAGACGATATAGGTGTGCATTGCAATCACAAGTTTAATTAATTTTGCTCTAATTATAATCAAATTCTTGTATATAAAATGTTGTATGCTACAGTTTTGCTTTGTTTTACAAAATCCATTAAGGGGAACAAATTACTTTCGTCGTTATTACATGACACAAAACCAGAGAATACACACATCCAAATGTAATAATTACCACCGCCACCTTATACATAATTCACACAACATTTCAAAGATATTGACAGTCTTCTCTGCTGAATCCCGACTTAAATATGCGTCCTTGGCTCCAAGCTACACTAAAATATTCATAAAGACTACCCTACTTTCATAAAACCTCCATTTAAGAAACCACGATTTTTTCCACGTAGAAATCAATCGAAATCACTCTGTTTTAGTGACAAAATAACATTTTTAACTTAAAACCCACTCTTTTAATTTTTTGTTATGTTATTACAACAACAGATTCATTAATATCAATGTTTTATTTGTCTATTTTCCCCAGCGGTGATTAATGCGTCTCCATGAACTCCATTTTGCGAGCTTTACTCCAAGATTTACACTTCGTTATTACTTCTTCGATCCGTTTTGATATTTCCAAGATTGTTAAATATTGTTATTATTTAAGAGGGAAGAAAATATGGCGTTTATAACACGGTTGTTGCTGGAACGTTTGCTAGCCAAATGCCGTGTGGTAATGGAAATGTCTCGTAATAATCCTTATTTTATGAATCAATTTCCAGATGAGGAAACGTTTGGCTCAAATTGGATTGCGAATCGACTAAACTACTGCAATTCATCGCAGAAGAGTCTAAGTATGCAAGAATTCCTCCTGGATAATTCTAGTAATGGCTATTTTCAATTCATAAATCTTTCAAACTGAATGGAAGTTCATTTTGGCAAAAGGATTTTACAATTTTTTTCCTAATTCATATCAATGGTTTTCGCTTGAGTCAAATATAAGTTATAATTTCAGAGAACAAAGAATTTATTATAAAATGTTAATCATTTTTTAGTTTTTTTATTTTAAATTTTGAAACTAAATAATAACATTTATTGTAACTCATTTCCATATCACTTCTAAGACCTGAAAATGACCAACAACTCCATGAAACAAGCGCCACAAACGACCAATTGGGCTTTACTGAAATTCACAGCATCTACTCTTGTTTTTAATCATGTCTACAGCTCTCAAGTGAGTTTAACGGCTCAGATAACTTTGGTGTAGAGGAGGAAAATGTGATACCGAATGATTCGAGTTTGAATTATCATATAAATTTATTCCATTTAAAAAGCTTATAAAATGTCGTCAAATATTCAATTTTTGTTGCTTGCTTTCATCAAAACAAATTGCCTTTTATCTTCACAAAATGTGAAACGAAAGTGAATAGATAAACAGAAAATAAAGCGAGTATGTGGTAACCACTTGTGGTCTAATTAAGCCAAATCGCTTCACACAGGGTTGTAAATAAATGATTAAAAGCAAATTAAACTATTTTAGCCTTTGTGTTTCACTACTGGACTATTACCAAGATAAAAACAGCTTTTATTATAATTTTTTTTGTTTTTATTAGAATTCAAATATTTTACAGATTCAAACAATTTTAGAACACTTATCCTTGAGACTATAATAGACAATTCTTTTGTTTATTTTGCCAATTATTTTAGATACAACAGATAATGTTTTAGTGAAAGATATCTATTCTAAACAGAAAATTGTGGAATATTTTAAGATAACATAAACTTTTAGCAACGTAATGTAAAACTTATAATATAACTAAGTTTTTTTATGTATTTTTAGTTTGTTCCTATTTTTGTACGTTAAAAATATTTTTGGAAACAGAGGAAGTAAATACATTCAAACTGCACTTAGCAGAACAATTAAAGATAAATTATATTTATCTTTAATATTACAATATTAATATTATTATATTATTAATATTATATATTATTTACATTATAATTTTGAATTTTTTTTTTCATTCCAAACTAACTTTTATAGTTCTAATTATGAGAATAATTTACGGTTTTCTGTCAGAATGTTAAAATAAATGATAGAAAACAGCTGCACGCATTATTAACAAAAGACAACAGAAAAGCCTTGCTTTGACTGTAGTTTTTTTATTTTCATAAATCGAAAAAACAAAAGCATTATGTAAATTTATATGTCCATTAGGAAAACTAACAATTTTTCGAAGAAAGGCTCACTGCCAAAACATTAATAACAAACGAGAGATTAATCAAAATATAAAAAAGTCAATGCTTGTGTTCTAGAAGGGAGAAAAGGAAAACAACAAGGATATTTGTGTTTAGAATTTGGCAGACATGACTGGAAACTGAATTGTCAACAGTGTTTTACATTATAGTTACCGATTATTACCGGTTGGTAATGAAAACTTCTGATTTAATAAAAAAAATAATTTTATCCAAAATCAATTTTTCAGTAGCCTTTAATTTGTTTCAAATGAGTTAAACCGCTCTTGATTAAATAATGATTGTAACAATTCCCATTTAAATCCATTTAAAATCATTGTTCCGTCACTGTATAATATAATTTACACCATTCTCTTTTTCGATATACAAACCAAGAGTTTATACAAACATTCGAATTGAATCCATATTTTTGACGTGATTTACAATAAATGAATCAGTTATTATCCGTGAAATATTTCTTAATAATAAATTTTATCAATGAAACACGTTCTATTTTAAATTCATTTGGCAAGTTACAGATTTTCAATTTTTGCCAACGAAAAGTTTTAATTTCTTTTATTGTTCATCTAGTCGGAATCTCAACTAAACGACAAATGTAATCCCTCCACTAACAGCCTTGGATAAGAGCGCTCGAACAAATTGAATAAAGCGAAAGAATTTGAAGAATGTCCAATATTGGGTATTGTAACATGTGAGTAGGTTTTTTTTCAACAACGCTGTATATCGACACTTAGAAACTTGTTTGACAACACTTAAAACCCCAAATTTGGGCCGATTTCGGCGAGAGAAGATTGTTTGTGTTGTGGGATTAGAGAAACTTACTTTTAATCCATCGGCACTTTTGCTCGTTTTTCGTATCGGACGACGAGAGATGCACTCGACGCCTGACGACGCCAAAATATAGACGCCAACTGACGATTGTGCGGCTCGGACTTAGGCGTCGCGCATTCTCACGCAAGAAATATACAAAATGTGACGTCAAGGACGATGGTACTAAAGCTGCAACTAACCTATGACATGGGTTCGAATGATGGAAATTGAATCGGACGTGGGCGGAAGCTGATGAAAATTGCTTCAGCTTAGAATCACATTTTTGGTTTTTGTCGAGAATTATCTAATCATCAAGATTTTTTAGCCATAAGCTTTGATTTTTATTATTCAAACGAAAAATTAATAAATCGTCCCCCGAACTCCACTAATGGATGCCTTTAATTGTGACAAAAGGGAACTAGAAAACGAGGGTAGTAATAGAGGTAGGTAATAGAAGGTCAATAAGGAGACATTTTCCAACCATCGTCAGAAATGTCAATTTTACATACCAGGTGAATAAAAACTATGGAACCAAGCGTTTTTTTCGTAAACTAAAATCTTTACGAAAAAAATAATTAGTGTAGCGTAAAGTACAATTAAAATGTGACCATTTATCAAGAATAAGATTTTTCGAAATTTCTTTTAGTTTTCAAGTTCTGGAATTTTTTTTTTAATGGCAACCCACCATGGTAATTTTTTTAATTAAAGATTATGATCTATAGTCCGGTCAAATTAGTCATAAAAATAGTGGTCAAATAACAAAAATTCCGACAGAGCTAAATTTTGGTGGAGACCTTGGGTACACCATTAGAAATAAAGTGTCAAAAGTCTCCATCGATCCCATGTGTGCTAAAAAAGTTCTTCGGGGTCAAAGGTCAAAATTTGATGTTTTTTGGATTTATTTTGAAAACGGTAAGTTTTATCAAAAAAGTAGTCCAGACAAAAAAGATAGACCTTAAAATTATCTACAAAAAAGGTTCTAATACTTTTTTTTTAAGAATCACCATTGCTGAGATATGGCGATTTTTAAAGTTGAAAGAGTCACTTTCTATATGATATGCACATACATAGTGCGCCAGAACTCGGCCCCCAAAAAAAATGCCATGTAGGGTAAGGTACCAGGAACATGGAAAAAAATTAAAAAAAATTCTATTTATAAAAATTTCGAAGTTATGAGAGTTTAAATTTTAAACTTTGCCTTTATTTCTTTCTGTTGGAAAAACAATTTTCCAAGATTTTTTGCTACAGGCTATTACAAGAGAAATCAAGGAAGCTGTATCCTAAATTGTAACTCTGTTCAATGTTATTTATGGCTTTCATTGACAAAACTTTTGTATATTTAGTAAATAATTATAAAAAAACATATACAAGATCATCAGTATCATTAAATAGACATAAAAAAATGTCAAATGTCAAAAAATAAATGTCAACATTTTTTGACAGATAGAATTTTTTAAACATTTTTTCCATGTTTCTGGTATCTTAACTTACTTGAAATTTTTTTTCTACTTCATTGAACTCATAAATATCTCGATTCCAATAGAATTAAAAAGAATTTATTTGGTAATACATACAGGTGTCCAAAAAATCGCGCATTTCCTTGAAAGGGAGTAATTGGGTAGTCTCCAGAGTACTAAAAAAATGTTGAAAAAATTATATCAAAAAAATTTGACATTTATTTTTTGACATTTGACATTTTTTTATGTCTATTTAATGATACTGATGATCTTGTATATGTTTTTTTATAATTATTTACTAAATGTACAAAAACTTTGTCAATGAAAGCCACAAATAACATTGAACAGAGTTACAATTTAGGATACAGCTTCCTTGATTCCTCTTCTAATAGCCTGTAGCAAAAAAACTTGGAAAATTGTTTTTCCAACAGAAAGAAATAAAGGCAAAGTGTAAAATGTAAACTCTCATAACTTCGAAATTTTTATAGATAGAATTTTTTTTTAATTTTTTCCATGTTCCTGGTACCTTACCCTACATGGCATTTTTTTGGGGGGCGCGAGTTCTGGCGCATTCTGTATGTGCATATCATATAGAAAGTGACTCTTTCAACTTTTAAAATCGCGATATCTCAGCAATTGTGATTCTTAGAAAAAAAAAGTATTAGGACCTTTTTTGTAGATAATTTTAAGGTCTATCTTTTTTGTCTGGACTACTTTTTTGATAAAACTTACCATTTTCGAAGGAAATCCATAAAACCTCAAATTTTGACCTTTGATCCCGAATAATTTTTTTAGCACACATGGGATCGATGGGGACTTTTGACACTTTATTTCTAATGGTGTACCCAAGGTCTCCACCAAAATTTAGCTCTGTCGGAATTTTTGTTATTTGAAATGTCTATTTTGACCGGACTTCTAAAAATGACCTCTAATTAAATAAAATTGTTTTTTTTCTCTTGATTTTCGACTTAGAATAATTTTTCTCTGCTTTTTGAGTCATATCATATTGGCGGTTTTATTTATTTGACCACTATATGTTAACAATTAATTTATTAATTAAATATTGATAGTTCTTGTTAAAAATGACTTTAGTTTTTATCTTAAAGCTGTTTCTTTGAGTTCCTATTTATTAAAAAAATATGTTTTTCACAAACATTTTTGTTATTTAATTTGCGTAAACTCATTTGTCAAAGTGACATCATTGTCAAAATAATAAATCCGCTAATTTGAGAGGACTTAAAAAGCAAACAAAAATTAGTCCAAAATCAAGAGAAAAATGAACTTTTCTTTCTACTGAGTTAGAATAATGAAGTTTTAATTACATATCTGCTCGTTTCAGGTAAAGCAAAAAATGTTTTTCCTTTGCAGTTTTGGCGTAAAATCAAAGATAATTTTTTTTTCCTTTTGTAAACTCGATCCGGGGACATACTGTAGGTACAGTTCCGGTGTTCCGGAATTAAAATTTCGGGCAGTATTCTTCTGTCCTTTAAAAAGTTTACTGTAACTACTCTTTACTGTCATCATGACTGACATTTGACAATTAAACTTTTTTTTCTTGTTAAATTTGTTAATTAAACAATTTGTTTGTCTTAAGAAATTTATTAATTGAACTAAGTGTAACTAAATCATTGCTTTGATCTATTATTATGCCACAAATCACTATTTTTGAAATTAAATAAGTCAAAATATACATAAACATGACAAGAATGAAAAATGTGGTTATTAATGTAAAGGTTGTTTTAGAGTTTACATTATGAAAATGACAATACTGCCCGAAATTTTAATTCCTCAACTTAGAAAAGTTTATGTAAAAAGAAGAAAAATTGAAAAAAAAAACGGATTTGTTATATAAAGAATAAGTTGAAAAAACAGAAAAAATGATGTAAAACTTGATAATGATAAGTAACAAGAATTCACAATGCAAGTCGCAAATTTCTGAAAAATAATTACATTCAAAATTAAATTAAAAGTTCAATAAATAACGGAGATAAAACATGTTTATATAAGTACGAATACATTTATTTGTTTGTTTGTTCAGCAATTAATTAATTTTTGTAATTTATTTCAAGTACTTAATTCGTATAAAAGTTAAGGTTAGACAACCAACTTTACTGGTGCATGAAATCAATTGAATGAACTCAAAATGCTTCCTAACTTGCGCTTCAGAAAAAAAAGTCAATGAACATAAGATACCAGGAACATAAAAAAAATGTTTAGGAAATTTTAGCTGTCAAAAAACTTTGAGATTTGACTTTTCTTATTGTCTAAGATGACAAAAATTAATCGCTGTTTTACAATTTTGGATAATTATATCGTTTTTCATAATATTAAAACGTTTGAAGTGGATTGTATCATTAAATTTTGGGTGACTATTTTCAAGTAACTTAATAGTAGATGATAATACAATAAAAGCTACAATAACGTTAAACATAGTGACAACTTTGCTTGCAGCACAAAAAACATGTAAAACTATTTTGCTCAAAAAATAAATAGGGTCAAAGTTTGTTGTTTGTTTTTAATTACAAAAGTAAACAAAAATAAAGAATAAGAGAATTAAAAAAAATGTATAAAGTTTTGCAAGATTACCGCAAGTACATTTTTTATTGTACGAGTATTACAATTTAAAATTAAGTGAATTCAACATTTTTCTAAAAATGATTCGAATCTTTTAGAATATTTATTTAGCATAATTGTTTTTGTTGGTCAAACTGTACTTAATAAAATTAATGTTGTGTACGTATCTTGTCATCAAGTATTAAATATAACATGTGCAAAGTAATCTAGTCATAATTTATTTATTCTAATTACAATTTGCATTTTCTTGCAAATAATTTAACTAACGGTTATTAAAATAAACGATTCCGAAATGCAAAACTTTATTTATAGATTTATAGAGATATAACTTGAAGAGAACACTAAAATAAGCTAGTCTTAAAAGCTCTCGAAGATGAACAGTTCACCAAATCGAACCACAATTAGCAAAACTTTAACAAACACAACAAATTATTTTAAACAATATTGCTCGGCCACTAGTATCCACGGATTTCAGTATTTTGGAGAGGATAGATCAATTTTCGAAAAGTAAGTAATTTTTAACTGATTCACTCTTTTTAATATTAATCAATTTTCTAAGAATATGGTGGAGCTTAATTTTCATTATTTGTCTAAGTGGCTGTTCTATAATGATTTATAAAATTTATGAAAAATACGAAACTAGTCCTGTTATTGTCAGTTTTGCCACTAAGGAAACTCCACTTTACAAAATCCCATTTCCGGCAGTTACGATTTGTCCGGAAGTAAAATCTGACGTAAGAAAATTTAATTTAACAAATGTCTTCATGAAGAAAAAAAATAATCTCTTATTGTCTGAAACAGAGTGAGTATTTAGACTGACAAACTGGAATAATAAGTGGTTTTAAAGATTCAAAAATTTACAGTATATGTCACTGCTTTGTGATGATATAGACGAGTTTAGGGATATTTTAATAAATGATACTTTGGACGAGTTCAGTGATAATATACTGGAGAGTTTAGATCAGGTAAGTACCAAAAATGCAAACCTACCTACTTATTGCAAAAAAACATTAAGGCTTTGTTTTTGTTTCAAGAGGATTTTCTCTCGGTGGTTGGCTGCGTCGTAAATAAAATTGTTTTAATTGTGTTTATGTTTCATTTTGAACGGAATTCAAACTGACAATGTTTTACTGTAAAAGTTTTTAAAAGCGTTATTTTTAATGTTTTGTTTGAAGAGAACAATTTTAACAAAAAGAACATAAAAATTGAAATAGCTAGATATTTATTAAATTGAATGTGTACATTAGTAGTAAATGCTGTACTTTGGTGTTTCTGATATAATTAACTTAATTGTTTTCAATGTTCGTTAATAAATTTGGTAATATAAAAAAAATAAAGCATTTGGCGCAATTTCTAACATAGGTATGTACCTATACCTATATTTAGAAACATAGTTACTATGATTGTATTTATTAAGGACCAATTTAATAACCAAATTTAAAAAATCATTTAAGTTAACAGTTAACAAACCAGTATATTAGTTTGGTTTTTTTTGCTTTGATATAAAGTTGGCATTAAAACAGTTTTGTTCAGTCTTATTTCTTCTCAGATAAAACCTGCATTTTTGCCTATTGAGTGTAAATTTCTTGGTGAAGAAAACCAGATTTGTGAAGATTTGTTTATACCCATATTCACCGACGAAGGTGTTTGTTATACTTTCAATATGTTGGACCGTAGCCACATTTTTACCGACAGAGTGTAAAAGTTTAATGTATTTTTATTTTTAACCATAAAGTTTAAAGTTACAGAAATCACTATAAAGGTTACCATAAAATACCAAACGATACGAAATCGTGGAACATGGAACAAGGATATTTAGATAATTCTAAGCTTTGGGTTTATCCATGGCGAGCTTTATTTTCAGGAGCCAATCACGGACTGATTTTGTATTTAGCCACGGAAGAGGAAAATGTCGAATATAAATGTAAAGGAATTCAGGGATTTAAAGTTAAGTTATTATTCTCATTAATTTAATTGATTCTTTAATGGATTTGATTAATTAAAGGTTGTTTTACACAGTCCTGTCCGAATGCCTCGCCTGAAACAGGAATATATTCGTATTCCTTTAAACCAAGCTGTTGTAGCTTTAGTTCACCCAGTGGTGATTGAGACATCTGAAGCTGTAAAAACTTTCGATCCTGAAAAACGCTTTTGCTATTTCCCCACCGAACGAAAGCTTCAATATTTCAGGAGTTACTCGCAACAAAATTGTCTTTTCGAATGTTTAACAAAAATTACTCTAAAAATGTGTGATTGTGTTTCAATTTTTATGCCAAGTAATAATATGATATCGTTTTCTTTGATAATTGGAACGTTTATAGGAGACAATGGGACAAAAATTTGTGGCTTAAGCAAACAAAAATGTGTTAAACAAGCCGAAGAAGCAATGCATTTGGGAGAACTCAACGTTTTTCATGATGTCAAAATAGATTTTGATGGATGTGATTGTATGCCACTTTGTACAGATTTGAGTTATAATGTAGAAACGTCGCAAACCCACTGGAATTGGAAAAACGCACTAAAAGAAGATTTAGATCCAAATATATTAAAAAAATCGTAATTTTCTTCTTAAAAATAACTCTTTTTGATGGTTTTTTCTAGGTTTCATTTGTCAAGTCTGACGATTTATTTCAAATTTAATCATTTTATCACATCTCAAAGACACGAATTGTATGGACCTACTGATTTTGTGGCAAATTTTGGAGGATTGTTGGGATTATTTATGGGATTTTCCATCTTATCACTGGCGGAAATTTTGTATTTTTTCACAGTGAGGATTTGTTGTAATGTGAGATTGTATGGAAACTGGATAGGACTTGAAGAATAGTTTATTAAAAATATTTTTTTTTAACTTTTGCACGATTTTTTTAAATCAAAAGTTCATAGGTATTCAGAGTTTTCTGTATTTAAATTTTCTGTTATAAAAAACAAAGCTATGTTTTGTTTAAATCTAATATATTATAAAGACTCATTTATTAAATTAAGCAGATGCTAATTTAGTTGTTACTGAATGTGTACAGAGTGTGCAGAGCGCATCTTCAAAGACTTGACTTCAAAGACAATTAAATTTGATTTATGTAGCTTGAATAACAACTTATTTTTGGTTGAAGAACAAATATAAGTGGAAAACAGTATTTAATTAAACATTTTGCAATCACTATTTTGATAAAAATTTATGAAACAGTTTTGTTTTTTAATTAAAAAAATGCAGTAAGCTTATTTATGAATTACCGTAAAGATTGTTGTAAAAGTAAACGTTGTGATTGGGTCGTTTGAGGTCGGCCATTATAATTATCTAAGAAACCAATCACCTTAGATTTTTGAATTCATTCAAAAAAATTAATAATTGGTTTAGGTTTTTGAATTCATTCCATATTTAATTCAATTGGTTTCCCGGGTCCAGTTTTATCAGAAAAACCAAAGCACAAAAAAATTATAGTTTGTTAAATTTGATTTCTAATATTCCAATAGATGGCATGAGAATGCAAGAGTAAGAGTTGTGGTTGGGGTAGAGTGAGGTTAAACTTAACCTAGAAGATTTTATAAGTAAAAAATGGAAATTTTAGAACTATACAGTGGCATTGGGGGGATGCATTGGGCTTTAAAAGGTATCACAAATTTCACGCAATTCTACTGTTTGTTTCAATCATAATTATTTACAGCTAGTGGCGTAGAAGGCAAAATTAAAGCAGCAGTCGACATAAATCCTACTGCCAATTCAGTTTACAAACATAATTTCCCAGAAATAACTCTACTCAGTCGCAACGTTCAAAGCCTGACACCAAAATTCATAAATAAATTGAGTGTTGACACCATTTTAATGTCGCCCCCATGCCAACCATTTACAAGAAATGGTCTTCAGGAGGATATCAACGATGAAAGAACCAAATCTTTCATATACATTTTATCGATTTTACCTGAACTAAATGTCACTAGAATTTTAATAGAAAATGTAAAAGGTTTTGAACAATCAAAAATGAGAGACTTGTTAATTGGGACATTGGAAAAATGCGGATTCCTCTATCAAGAATTTATTCTCACCCCTACCCAATTTGGAGTACCAAATACCAGGCATCGGTACTATTGTATAGCCAAGAAACCCCCAAGTAGTTTCAATTTTGAAGCTGGGTCATTAGTAAGACTTAATTCTTATTCAACATTTTTTATTGTTCTTTTTTTTTTTTTTAGAAAACTGAACTTCCTTATCGACAGAACGCAAATGATTGCTTTGAAATAAGCCTGATTTTAGATCAAAACGAAGACTTAGCTTCTTATTATTTAGGCGATAAAATTTTAACAAATTATTTAGATACCACGGACATCCGTTACAGCACCTCTAAAAACACTTGTTGCTTTACTAAAGCATATGGACGTTATGTTAAAGGCACTGGAAGTGTTTATAGCGATTTGCCTGAAGTAAAAAGTGAAATGTACAACAAACTTTCTGATTTTGACCCTAGAAGTAATTCTTATTTACAATTAGCACATCAGTTAAAAATACGATTTTTTACACCTAGGGAAATAAGCAGGTTAATGAGTTTTCCTGAAGATTTCACATTCCCTAAAAGTACAAGTGATAAACAAAAATATATGTTATTAGGGAACAGTATTAATGTTAAAGTTGTAGCAGAATTAATAAAATTATTACAATGACTAATAAATGTCATCAATCAATCTTCTTCGTGTTTTACCGGTTGTAGGTAAATAAAAGGTTCGTAGTAATAAGGATTGTAACCAATGCAGTCCAAATTAATTCTTTTTTACTACAATATTTGTCTACTCTTCCAAAAATGGAGTATCAACTTTTGGTCTAACGACAAAAATGGAAGAATTTTAAAATTCGTATTTGAAGTAATGAGGATTCGCTTTCCCATTTTGTTTACGTTCGTAGTAATGATGATTATAACCAATGCAAAATGACCACGATTTTTTAAATATTTTTAGATCTCGGTTTCAATCTACCCCTTCAAAAATGATACGACGAAACGTGTGTTCCAATTTTAACTTTAAGTCCCAACAATAATAAATCGAAGAATTCTTATTCGAACTAATGGGAACTCACTATCAGCTGATTGACATTAACAAACATCTGTCAAACAACCTAAACGGTGCCCTACTCAAAAACCGCGTCCTAATCAAAACTAATTAAATTACCACTTGAAAATGTTGCAAAATCGTGGTTATGGTGCTTAAAACTGTGCAATGTTTCGTAGTAGAAGTTGGTTCGGTGGCGGTTGGGGCCGTCCTAAGAACCCCCATTCGTTGGAACACTTGAAATACTTGTACAACGTGTTGTCTAGGAATCAAACAGTATCGGAACACAACCGAGGGTTACTGGTCGAGACTCTTCGATCAATAGCCGAAATTTTAATCTGGGGTGATCAAAATGACTCGTCCGTTTTTGAGTAAGATGGTGTTATTTGTTTTGAAAGAAATAATTATGAAATTGCAGCTTCTTTTTGGAGAAGAACATGTTGTCGTTCTTTTTGCGTATCATGAGACAACGAAGCGGAGGCTCGAGCTTTGTTTGCGTCCAATTACTTCAAACGCTTAATATTTTATTCGAGAATATTAGAAACGAAACATCGCTATGTAATTACGGAAAATTTTCACATGAATTAGTTACAAGGCAAAACAAAGTCTTGTAATTAATTCTTTTAATAACTATGAACTTTTTTGAAATTATTTTTAGATTACTTGTTATCAAATAATCACGTAAATTCGATAATCGTACACAAATTCGATTTCTCTGATGAGGAAGTCATGGCTTATTACATCTCGTTTTTGAAAACTCTCAGCTTGAAACTGAACGCTCATACTATACATTTTTTCTACAATGAAGTATGTTGTATCATCATTTTTTGTATATTTATCACTTAAATTTTAGCACACTAACGATTTTCCGTTATACACGGAAGCGATAAAATTTTTTAATCATCCTGAATCTATGGTCAGGATAGCAGTGCGAACTTTGACATTAAATGTGTATAAAGTTGAGGATGCAAGTATGCTTGCTTTCATTAGGGATAGAACAGCAGCTCCGTATTTTTCAAATATTGTTTGGTTTATTGGAAAACATATCCAGGAGTTAGATGTCTGTGTTCGCAATGATGCAGAGTAAGTATAAGTTTTTTTTTTTTTCATTAGGTTTTATATCGATTTTACACATTTTTATACAGGGTGATTTAAAAAAAAATAATTAAATGGCTTTTAATATAGTATAAGCTGGCAATTTTAGAATTTTTCCAAATGTCATGGTACATTTTGGGCTATATTTAACTTTATAATTTTAAATTAGAATCCATATTTTTTTTCATAATTTGAAAGGTATTAAGTCTCTTTGTACAGACATATACAATATGTTTTACTTTTAGTAAAAATTATTGTTTAGAGAAATTATCAAAGTTAAAAAAAATAATAAAAGTTAATAAAATCTAGTTGCACAGTGTCAAATAAGACAATGCCATTACTGTAATGTCAAAAAGCAGCAGATGTGAAAATATGTTACCCATATTTTTTCAAATTTGTAATGAAACATATTAATATTAATTACCTATAAAAAATTTGAAAAACATCTAATTTAGTGTACCTAATTAATTTATTTTATTATTTATTTATTTTGTTTACTTTTAATAAGATTATTGTTAATGTCAATTTTTTATTTAATATCATGCAAGTATACAGAGTGCGCCAGAACTCACGCCCCAGAGAAAATTTTCAAGTAAGGTAAGATACCAGAAACATGAAAAAAATGTTTAAAAAATTCTATCTGTCAAAAATTTTTCTCATTTATTTTTTGACATTTGACATTTTTTTATATCTATTTAATGATACTGATAATCTTGTATATGTTTTTTTACAATTATTTAGTAAATGGACAACAATTTTGCCAATAAAAGCCACAGATAACATTGAACAGAGTTACAATTTAATTTTAAACCCTCATAACTTCGAAATTTTTATAGATAACATTTTTTTAACATTTTTTTCATGTTCCTGGTATCTTACCTTATATGGCATTTTTCTCTGGGGCGCGAGTTATGGCGCACACTGTATTTTATCAAATTTCGTTATTTTTTTTAACTTTGATAATTTTTTAAACAATAATTTTTACTAGAGGTAAAACATATTGCACATGTTTATACCAAGAAAACTAAATAATATCTTTCAAATAAGAAAAAAAAAATTTGGTCCCTATTTAAAATCAGAAAGTTGAATGTAGTTCAAAATATACTATAACATTTGGAAATATTTTAAAAGTGTCAGGTTGTACTATATTAAAAGCCATTTAAGTTAGTTTTTTGATTTTTGAAATCGATCCATAAATAAAAATTCTACAGTGACTGTTGTTTTTTAAAAAATCATTGTATAAATAGTTACTGAAAGTAAGATTAATTAATACCGATTAAGAAACACATAAAATTTCTCCACTGTTTAAATTACAAATTTTATACACTGATGAATATTTAGAATAATGTATTTTTATTTTTTTTTATATTTTTGTTTTATTTTCAAATTTTACTCCTATCATTTATTTAAATATTTGAATTCAGTATTTGTCTCTTTTCAGTCACCAATCTCAGAATCGGTTGTCCGATCTAGTGGCTGAACACCTGGACCATCTTCATTACCTAAACGACATTCTTTGCTTAAACATCACTGACTTGAATCAAGTTCTAACCGACCACCTCTTACACAAACTCCTCATCCCTTTATACATCTATTCCCTTTCAACCGTACGAAAACCCACAGGAGGCGTGGAAGCAATCACAAAAGCGCTCAATCAAAAACTAAACCTAAACGAATCATCATCAAACGGCGGTATTCCTCATGAACCATCAACAGGAAAAGTTTCATGTGTCGTTGCTTTATTCCTACTTTCGCAAGTGTGTCTTATCATCTCGCATTCACCTGTTGTCCAAACTGTCGCTTGGATTGTTCTGAAAAGCGATCGATCAATTTACGATAAAGGAGTAGAGAAATTATTGGAAGCGTACGAAAATGAAATGAAGCGAAACGGGAAAAATGAAGAAGCGAGTGGGTCAGAGAGTAGTTTCAAAGATGATGTAGTTGAGGAACATAAGAATATTACAGATGAGGAGAAGCAAAGGTTGGCGACTACGCCAACTGAGAGCGAAAGTGTGTCGGAAAAACCGTTTTTGGAAACGGTTTACAATGCGTTGGATTGTTCGGAGAACGACTACGCGGCGCTTTTTGCCCTTATTTTGCTGTATGCTATGGCATACAATAAAGGTGAGTGAAATTGAAGAAAATTTAGTTTTTAATTAAATTAAATTTGTCAGGAATAATGCCGGACATTAACGAGCAAGTATTAAGGCCTAAAAAGACCTACACGTCGAAGACATCGTCTCGTGATGTGCGCTACACCTACAACACTTACTTAGTGGACAAACTGTTGTATATAGTGCTGCTTTCATGCCAGCCTTCGTGTCGAGTCAGATTAGTGACTCTCGAGTTGGCTCTTAAACTCCTAGTACAACTAGTAATGGCCGATGGTAAAAGTGTGCTTCTTGAATCGCATAAATCGACGATAGAATCGGCAAAAACGCAAAGTACAGCGCTTTTGAGGAATTTTTACAAGAGCGAAGAGATTTTCCTAGATATGTTTGAACATGAATACTGTGATATGTCGAAGACTTCATTAAATGTAGAATGGTTGTGTATGGATAGTGCAATTTTGTTACCACCTACGGGGACGCCGATGACGGGGATTGATTTTACCAAGAGGTTGCCGTGTGGAGAGGTGAGAGTTGACACAAGGAAAAAACAAGGTCAAGTAGTCAAAATAGTGGTTTTTGTGAGTTTTTTAACCTAAGTTGCATTTTCAAAACTGAATTTTTAACTTTCACTATTTCTGACCTCGCTAATCCGGACTTAATTCGGACAAAACGGAGCGTACTTAAAAAATATCTAGGGCCATTGAAATTTGTAAATAACAAAATCGATATCTAACTTTACTTGTTTTCTCTGAAAGTATCCGCACAGTTGATTATCGTTTTGTTTACTACTATTATTTAGTATTGTGACTGAAAAGAATCATAATTATGATGAGAAAAAAACAATTTTTCCTCATCAAGTCTGAATTAGCGAGACTCTACTGTATTAGGAATTTGCGCTAACATTTCACGTTTTATGGAAAAGATATTTGGAATGTTTATTTTTAACAATAAATATTTGAAAAAACGGCTATTGGAATACCTTGTTTTACGTGAAGTGAATTTTGAATCTACATAATTTTTAACGAGAGATAAATTTATACAGTTTAATTTTTATTTATTTAATGTAACAAAAATTTACAAAACTTTATTACGGTGAGAGAAAGTAGTGATATTTTTCACCTTCATTAACAAATATTGAGTGGAATTTGGACATTAATAAAAAAAACTTGTTAGTTATTTTGCTGACGTTTCGAGACTAGAAGATTGGTTTTTACCAATATACTTAGTCAATATTCTTAGACACAATAAAAATAATCAATTTTTAGATTAATTTTCTAATATTAATAAAAAAAGTTTCTATTGTTTATTTAAAACATGCTTGAAATTATTCTAATAAATATTTAATTTTAATTTTTAAATAACAGAAAATCGTTGGGAAGCCACAGAATCCTCTCCTTATGATTGTTTTATAAATTTATCTTTTTGATTCTTTTTTGTATGTGTTGTTTTATTTATTTTTTAATATTAATTTTTTGTCTTTTATTTTTTAATAATTTTTGAGAATTTATGATATATTTTTGGTGTATACGCTTCCAAAAATAGCAATTTTTAACTCCTGAAAATGATTTTTTTTCGTACTCAATAAAATAGTACGTGAAATAGTTATTTTATTTAATCATCATGCATAATAAGGGGTTTGAATGTGTTTTTGGGAGCTTTAACAAAAAATGTTGTTTATGACACGTAAGTTTTTGCGGATTCATTTACTACTCCAGCCTCGGCTTCGCCTTGTCCGAAAACAGCAATGATTCATCCCCCAAGGCTGTATTTAGGAGCCTGTAACAAAAATAACCATTTTGAGTTTTTTAATGTTTATTATTATTTTTATATGTTTACCTTTTTTATTTAGAAGGTTTTTCCATGTTCCTGGTATCGTACCTTACATGTTTTTTTTCTCTGGGGCGCGAGTTCTGGCGCACCTGTATTTATAAAAAACTTAGATATTTTACCTTTTATTTTTCTGTATTTTTTCTTTTACTGTTTTTTTTTTGAGGTGTTTTTTTTGTTATTTCTTCTCTACTAACAGCTAGCTATATCCTAAATTTTTTCTCTCATTGTTGTTGTGAAGCTTAGGAATCAATAAAAAAGTGTAACCAAGAAGTTTACAGTTTTACAACGTTGAGAGAGAAACTAAAAGGGGATTAAGAAACTGCATTTATTTTTTATTTGAAATTTTTTTTTTACTCTTTATTTTATTTTTTATCTGTTTATTTCTATCTATTCCATGTTTTTCTGATTTTTTTTCTTTCGTAATTTTGTTTTTTCGTTTTTTACTTCTTGCTACTTTTCGCCTCTTAAATCACTTCATTTCTCTTACGTACAAGGTACACAAATTATGCGCAGTGTAAATGAAAAATAATAATAGTTTTTTTTTTTACATTTATCAATAATGTTCACTTTTTCATCACCATATTGCACGTAAAAATATTCTGCTTGTTTTAGTTTTTGTGATATAGACAATTTTTTTTATTTTTATTCATGCGAATTATTAAAATCGAAGTACAACAATAAATACCAACCTTTTTTTTCTGTTTGCAAAGTAGTAGTGATATTTTTATTTGAGCAGGTCGAGCGGGCACGTCGAGCTATCCGAGTCTTCTTCTTGGTCCGAAACGTCGTGTTAACTTTGAACGGCGAAATGGAAACCCAACTACCTCTAACCAACCCCCAGAGCTGCGTCCAGATTGATCAAGCCTTGGACCTGAGTATATCTCGTTGTGTGTCAGAACTGCACGAATCACACAATCGTTAAATTACAGATTTATAACTAATAAACCACGATTTAATACCAAAGAAAAGATGTGTTTTTATTATTGTTTTCTGCATGAGTATTGGTGCTTTTATGGAAGAGGGATTTAACGATTGTCTCGTTCTGCGGTGTTTCACCAGACGATGAAGCCTCCTGATGAGAATGTTTCATTTTGTTACAGATAATTCGGATTTGATCGCATGTACGGTGCTGTGGAAGGACGGGACGAAGACGAGGAGGTTTCTGGTGATCGACGTCTTGCAACTGATTTTGGTCGAGCCGGATACGAAGAGGTTGGGTTGGGGGGTAGCCAAACTGGTAGGGTTCTTGCAGGATATAGAGGTGACGGGGGATAAGGACGATTCGAGGTGTCTGCATATTACAATACATAGACCTTTGTCGGGAACTACGACCAATCGGGTGCCATTGCTCAGTGCCAAGTTCGTTTTCGATGATAACATCAGGTGTATGGCGGCGAAGCAAAGGTTAACCAAGGTTAGTGGAAGTAAATTTCTGATCAAAGTGACCTGCAGTGTTGCCAGATCAAAAACATAAAATTCACCAGATCCGAGTTTAAAAAGTTGCCAAATTTTCACTAGATTTGTATGACAAAATTTCGCAAAAAACGCAGTTTTCGTCTGCTTAAAATTTTGGGAAAAAGCAAAAGTGACATGCTTTTCTGCCTAATTATGTGATTTATCGGCTTGTTTCCAAGCGAAATAATTGCGTTTCTAGCTGAAAAACGCTCGAAAAATACAAAAATAATGTAATTTGAGACTTGATTTCTTAATTATTTAGTTTGTTTTAGGGAAATCTAGCGAAAAACCTGAGATTTTAGCACAAAAACGTGCTTAAAGGCTTTTTTCGGCTAAATTTTGTTCTTGGCTTATTTTTGTCATATTTTGCTCAAAAACCAGTTATATCGAGTAAAACGAACAAAATAACATCAATATCAATCCTTTTTGTGATTTTTAGGCGTGTTTGGACAAGATTTTGCAAAATAAATGAACTACTGGTTCGAAAACGAACTAAGTCAGGCAAACAAGTGAAAAATGATATCAATTTCGATTTAATTTTGTATTTTTTTTTATCAGCTTGTTTCAATGCAATATTTACTTTTTATGTTTTTATCTCTCAAAAAGACAAAAAAACGCCGTTTTTTGGGCTATTATGTTAATTTGTGGCTTGTTCTTGACAAAATTTTGCAAAATAAGTGTGTTTCTAGCTGAAAAAGCATTCGAAAAAAAAGCAAATGGAACTATTTTTAACCAATTTGGTGGTTTTCGATTATTTTTCCTTTGAGAAAATTTGACAAAATAAATAAGTTAAAGCCTAAGAGTTAGGTAAAAATATCAAAATATAATCTTTTTTATAACTATTAGTGATTTTTGTTATGGTAAACTCTCGTGAAAAAAACAGATATCATTTTCGGCATAATTCTGTTTTTTTAACTTGTTTTTAACAAAATTTTGTGAAATAATTGCGTTGCTAGCTACTAAAACTCTCAAGAAATGCATAATTAATCTAATTTTCGACGTATTTGTTGATTTTTTTTTCAGTTCGTTTTAGCAATCTCGCAAAAAAACTGAGATTGTAGTACAAAAACGTGCTTAAAAACATTCTCGGCTTATTTTTGTCTTATTTTGCTCAAGAACCAGTTAAATCGAGTGAAACAAACAAAACAACATCAGTATCAATTGTTTTTGTAATTTTTAAGCGTGTTTGGACAAGATTTTGCAAAATAAATGAGGCTCTGGTTCAAAAACGAAGAAAGTCGAGCAAAACAAACAAAAATAATATCAATTTCGATTTAATTTAGTAATTTTTTTGCCTACTCCAACGAAATCTTTAGATTTCTCTTTCTTTTTATCTCAAAAACATGCTTAAAAAAGGCTTTTTCGGCAAAATTTTTTTCTTGGCTTATTTTTGTCATATTTTGCTCAAAAACCAGTTAAACCGAGTAAGACAAACAAAATAACATCAATATCAATCCTTTTTGTGATTTTTAAGCGTGTTTGGACAAGATTGTGCAAAATAAATGAACTACTGGTTCGAAAACGAACTAAGTCAGGCAAACAAGTAAAAAATGATATTAATTTCGATTTAATTTTGTATTTTTTCAGCTTGTTTCAATGCAATATTTACTTTTTGTGTTTTTATCTCTCAAAAAGACAAAAAATACGCCGCCGTTTTTTGAGCTATGTTTGTGGCTTGTTTTTGACAAAATTGCAACATAAATGTGTTTCTAGCTGAAAAAGAATTCGAAAAAAAAAACAAAAATAAGTTGTCATTTTCGACCATGTTTAGTAATATCTTTTAAAAAACAAATAGAACTATGTTTAACCAATTTGGTGGTTTTCGATTATTTTTTGCGTGCTTAAAAACGGCTTATTTTTGTCTTATTTTGCTCAAGAACCAGTTAAATCGAGTGAAACAAACAAAGCAACATCAGTATCAATTGTTTTTGTGATTTTTAAGTGTGTTTGAACAAGATTTTGCAAAAAAAATTAGACTCTGGTTCAAAAACGAAGAGTCGAGCAAAACAAGCTAAAAATAATGTCAATTTCGATTTACTTTGCCTACTCCAACGAAATCTTTAGATTTCTCATTCTTTTTATCTCAAAAACATGCTTAAACACTTGAAAAGGGCAAAAATAACGTCGTTTTTGGTCGAATTTGTTGAATTTTTGGATTGTGTTTGTTTTTAACGAAATTTTGCGAAATAATTGTGTTTATAGCTGAAAAAATATTCGAAAAAACAAAAATAAATTGTCATTTTCGATCGTGTACTAGTAAAATCTTGTAAAAAAATCAAATAGAACTATTCTTAACCAATTTGATGGTTTATCGACTTTTTTGAAAAATTTTGACGAAATAATCAAATTTCTGGTTGAAGACGGGGAAAATGTTCGAAAAACAGTTTCTTTCATTTCCAAAAAATCACCAGATATTAGAATTTTTACAAAAACTTTATTAAAATTGTTGTGACATTTGTATTTGATAGTCAGTGTTGCCAAATTCAGATTTTAGTTTTGCCACTATTTTTTTATTTTTTTTTCAGGGCCGTATCAAGGCCCGTCAGAAGAAGATGCAGCACATCGCCCGCCTTCTTGAAATCCCCGGCCAATCGGGTCCCCCGAGTCCCGCATTCGTTGGCGGCGGCATTTACAACCGCTCCGCCGGCCGAGGCCTCCGCGACCGACCGTTTGGCCTCTCCCGGGGCCCTGGTTTCGCCACCCCCCGATGGGAGAGTCCCCCGGGAGTGACTCACCGAACGGACGAGTCGCGGCGCCATCGCGACAGCGATCCCAAAAACTTGAAAAAAGACGATCGGACTCCCAACCGATCCAGGGATTCTTCATCGAGTAGGACGAAGTCGCGGGAGGGTTCCCCTAGGATGCCTAGGCCGCGTTCAGAAGAGATTCCGTTGGAGTTGATCAAGAAAGCATCAAATTCGGTGATTGATATGACGCCGAAAATCGCAATTGTGCCAAGGCCGCAACTGAAAGAAGAGAGTGAAGAAGTAGAGAAGAAACCGGAAGAGGAAGTTTCGATTAGTTCCGAAGAAACGTCGTTTATTGCCAGCGAGAGGAGGAATTCGAAGAAAGGGGGGAATATTGAAACAGTATAGTACAGGGCGGTTTTGTTGACTTTAGTGTAATTAATAAAAATTGTTTTATCATGATGATTGTTTTTATTATTGAAGAGGCTGTAATTGAAGATAATGGAATAAAATGTACTCCAGGAAGGTGAAAAGGAAGGGCTATAATTATCCATAATTTTATTTTTGTTGAACTTATTAATGCGGAATTTAATAAACTTATTTTTCTTTTATTTTGTGTTGTATTTATTTTATACTTTTCATATTTTTTTGTAATTTTTGGAGGTAAGTTGTACGAAATGGTAAGTGGAGAATAGAGAATATTTAGTTCTTTTTCTGAAAAACCATTTATTTGTACATCGATTTGAAATATCGGTCGAGAACACCCCACATAAAAATACCGTGCGATCAAAAAAAAAAGATAAATTAGAGTAGGCGGTGATTAAAGTCCTTCAGATGGCAATCCTGATTTTTGACATCAAATATCAGCAGAAACTTTGACAAGTTTGCGTTTTATTCATTTTGAGTGAAATAATGTTCACTTTAAAGGAGAAAATTTTTATTGTTGCAAATTATTACAAAAATGCTGTACAAGACGAAAACGGTGAATGGTCATTTTCAGTTTATGTGGAAAATTTCCAGCCCAGATTCCCAGCCAATGTGTTGCCAACTGTAGAATTTATCCGACGCCTACTCTAATTTTTTTTTTTTTTTTGATCACACGGTATTTCAGTGTTCGTGCTTGAACATTATTTTTAGAAAAAGTTCCGTGTATTTTTTATGCAGGTAATATTTCAATATCAATATTTTGGTTGGAACTATTTGCGCATATTATTTTAAATACATATTTGCTAAACCTCCCAAAACACTAAGTGATGTCTAAATGAAGAAATCTTTTTTACAATTCCTCTTTCTTTATTTTAAGAATAAATTCTTACAATAAAAATTAAGATAATTTTGTATTTCCAATTGTTTGATTATAATGCAAAAATTACAAATGTTTGGAAAAAAACGCAAACGCACTCATTACACAATGTTTGACATTTCCTAATTGGTTGCATAAATATCTTATTATTAATAAATTAATTATTATCTGTCTTATTCCCCCACAAAAAAACTAATTTCTCTCAACAGCTGTCAATCAATTAATTGCAAATTGCGAAAACTGCGAACGCAAAAATCATACGTAGAAACACAAGTAGTATGTCACTTGGTCAAATAAAATAATAAATAAACACATAAATTTTAAGAGACAAGGATAAACATCGGCATCGATCAAAAGATTGGTCGGTATGACTGATCACATGCGTGTTTTACTTGACTTTATTGTAAATAAGCAATTTGTTATTCAAAGACTCTAACATCCTTTTATGGGCGAAAAATTTACTCACAACCTAAAACAGATATTAATTTCGTTCTTCATCAAAAGTGCATTAAAGCAAAAAAGTGTTTGTAATGAATAATTTAAAGTGCAACATATGCAACTTTCGCAATATGTCAAACGGGCCAGCAAATCGAAATAAATATTTGAGGTAGTAGATCATCAAACAAACGAGAGAAAATAACCATAATGGAAGGAAATTTTAATAAATGAGTCATTTGAAACGTGCTTTACGTTATCAAACCGTTCATTTCTCTCTGGTATAAAATACCATCTGCAAAACTGTTACAACATGACTCATGGCAAAAGCAAATGTAAACCTTTGATGCAAGGAACGTTTTACATATTTTCACTTCCATAAAAGGAAGCGCTTTTAAACGAGTAAAGGTCCACTTTTATTGATTTGTATAATTAAATTAGTTAATTTGTTTTGAAAACAAGATATAAACTTTTTATCTTATCACTGAAGAAATTATTTCAGACAGCTGCTCCTTAAATAAATCAATATCTGGAGGAAAATATGTTAAAATAAACAAAATGTGTTATAATATCTTTCATAATTAATTAGAAAATATCTTTTCAAACGAGGAATTGAACTTTATTCTGTTCTTAATAAAATTATCTTTTAATTATATCGAGTCGAAAAAGTTTGGAGATAACTGATAGAATTGCGTGTTATGAAAGAAAAAATACTTACAATTAGGTCCTGATATTACCTACCTATCAGAAATTTTTTATTTGTTATTTGAAAAATTAAAGTACAAATGTCTAGGTGTAGATCCAAAACCTAATAGTTTTACAATAAAAAAGTGTGCGGTTTGAATTTTGTAAGCATGGTTGCCAAATTAAAATCTCAAATTTATTGACAAAATGACGATAAAACCAACCATTTAGCAGGTACATACAGGGTGAATATAAAGTATGGAACCAAGCGGTTTTATTTTTAATCATTTGCCTCCGGAAAATAATAATTAATATAAATTAAAGTAATATAAAAAATGTGATCGTAATTTCAGAACGAAATTTTGTTTTGTTTTTGAGTTATGCGATTTTTTTTTGTCAAAATTGCAATTTATGTGAAAAATTTTTTTTGTAAAAATTAAAAATAAAGCAGATAGTTGTAATCCTTAGAGTATAGCTTTTATGAGAAAAATGATTTTTTAGTGGGTTGCCATCCCTGTATTTTTTTTTTTGTAGAACTCAAAAATAAAAGGAAATATCGAAAAATTTTATTCTTGTTAAATCATCACATTTTTATAGTACTTTAGCACTCATCAATTAGTTTTTTCAAAAAATAAATAGTTTAAGCAAAAAACGTTTGGTTCCATACTTTTTATTCACCTGGTATTTCATATTAAATTTTATTATGTCTGACATATTATTTAAGTGCGCTCTACAAAAATGTGAATATGAAGTGAAATAATGGTTTCCTGTAGCTTCTTTATTTCTTTACGATGTTTCCTAAATTTTCAAAATGTCTTTTGCTTCCTGTAAATCGATCTTAAAAGTAATATTAAATATACATCTTCAAAAATTGTTATAGAGAAACAAATTATTGTTGAGCGTTTCAATTATTTTAGTGAAGATATTCTCTTTAAAAAAAATAGTTCCCTGCATTTATTTCTTTTCATACGTTTTTTTTTGTGGGGATTGTAAAACTACAATTTTAAAAGTAATGTAAATTTAAACTAAATCTAGGACAAGCCATAACTGCATTATTTTTAAAGATATGACAATACTTCTTAAAACAAGTTGAACAGTTTATTGTCATCTATAGTTTGAGATAGATGCTCAATTAATGCTGCTTTCTGTAACCGGAAGTGACATTAATTTCAATTTTTTAAATGGAACACCCTGTATATTTGATTATTTTTGGATTCTTCATTAAATTGTCTTTTAACAAGCTTACTATTTATTAAAAAAATTTTTTTTAGACCATAAACATTTGGAGAAGGCAAGTTTAGTTATTTTGACTTCTTTTGAGCTCTACTATCACCTGTTAAAATATTTGTATGTACATACCTTCAAATCACCCAGTATAATAAAAAATACGATGCTACTGTAGGTATGTTTATACAAAAATAATTGAGAAACTGGATAAAAATAAACAAAAAAAGTATTATGTAAACGAATATTTTAATAAAATTTAAATTCTTTTGCAAAATAAAGAATTAATAAGACACAAATTTTCGCTTAACCATCAATTACTGCAAACATATTACACACCTGTTTATGCCGGATATTGTCGCCCACATAATTTTGCCTTATCATCTGTTTTTGAATAATTTATTTACCCTATATTTAACTTAGTTGTATCTATACCTACAAAAATAAACACTTCTATAGATAGAAAATTGAAGGTTATTTCATGCGATTTACAATTTTGCATTCATTTTTAATGTTTCATGTGTCGACTGTAACTAACAGATTCTTTAATCATATTTTGTGAAATTTTTCAAATAGTATCTAACATTAAAATAAAATAAAGAAAAAAGAAAAAGTAATCTGTTATTATTATGTATTATTGCTTTATTTTTAACAGTGTCTATATAGTTCTTTGAAGCATTAGCATAAACATAGTAGGTATTAATAATAATACTATCTTCATGGGCATTATTAAAGCAAAGCATTCACTCTTAATATTTTACTATCTTCGTTAATAAATTTATGTTAATAAACTTCGTCGATGCACGTAAAACATAATACAAACAATAAATTAACCTCTGGTATAAACGTCTTTATATTTACCGACCAATAACCTCCAATTTAAATTACAATGTTGATATAAAAGGAATACCTATTGCATCAAGTAGTAATTATGAATATTTATTAACTCATTGTTGCATTAATATTACAACAACAATACTGTTTTTAAATAAATCATTTAACCAACATTTTAACCGGTTTTGCGTAAATTTGCCATAAACCTTACCATAAACAATATTGTCGCACTTTCCGTATTTGTACCTCCTCTATTTTATCACATTATCATAAAAATTTGGAAACTCTATCAATATTAGGTTACGGACTCTAACAACGTGACTAAATCAAGCTTGTAATTTATTAATGGAGTTGTTGTTATAAGTGTAATGAATGAAAAGAAATTGTAGCTTGTTTTATTGAGGCATAAATACATTATAGCCAACTAAACAAATGAGTTATGTATTGTTAACGGTAGCTTATTGAGTTCATTTGCTACTTTTTAAAGTGAAAGAATGACGAATTTTGTAAAAATCAATAAATGAATCATCAAAAGTGCTAAATACACAACATGATCATCTACCAAGAAAAAAAAATATTTAAAACTTTTGGAAGAGTTAACAATGAGATGTAGTTTTTATTGTATTATGTTTTAGGTAATAATAACGGGTTGTATTAGTATCAAATGGAAGCCGGAATCTTAAAATATCACGTTTCTTGTTTATTATTTAAACTACAAGACTCTCGGTACTTGCCCTGCATATTAACATAAAATACACATTAACAGGCGCACATTTAACTTTACAAGACTTAAATTATGATTAATTCAAGTTTAAATGGCCTTTATTGTAGACGTTTTTATAAAAAGATTTACTTCGCAGTTAAAATTTATAATTAAAATTGCAGGACGTCCAAAATTTTTAAATTGCAAATAATTTTATTACAGAGTCGCCAGTAATAAATTGTAGTTGTGAATGACATTTTAATTAGGCACCCATTGTTTAGTGTTTATTAATTTTTTGGTTGTAGTAACGATAAATGACAAAGTTATAGGGAACAAATTTATTTGAAATATTTTGTGTACAGACGGAAAGCCGTTCAAACAAGTTCTCATATGAAAAAAAGAAAAATTGATTTTTAAGAAATACAGTAAACAAATTGGTTTTTTTTACAATTAAAAAAATACCTCACAAACAAAGTGTTTTTATCTCATTTTGAATATTTGAAACGGATTGAAAAATTCAATACTTTTTATTTTTTATGAAAAAAAACATTATTTAAATTGCATTAAAAAAATACAGTAACATAAGTAAGAAATCTACAATACACCAAAAATAAATCAAAAAATTCTTCCGTACAGTTTTGTTATAATACAATAAAATGGCCAAAAATAGAGGTTTTTTAAAGTTTATTTTTAAACGGCACGGCCAAAAAATTTCAAATTAATATACATATATTTCTGCTAAGGCGATCAAAAAGTTATGACAATTTTTTCAGAATTTCAACCTTAAGTTAAAAAATGATTCTTTTTTTTTCTTGTCGGCTTTTCCAATTTCTACCAAACCTTGAAATTAAAAATTTTAAAACATTATTTGTTTGTCGGTTCATAGTTCATCGATTTTTTTTAATAAAAATTGTTTATACTGAAAAGTTTAGAAGATATACAAGTTGTTACGAATTTTGATCTGTATTTTAATTATTTTTTGATAATCGCTAATAGGCCGATGTCTTTGCACGCCACTGACCTCAGTAAATCAAAATACCAGGCTATAAAACCTAACAAATCAAATAAAACCGAATAGATGGCACAGTCGAGTTTTAACGAAAATTAACTGTCACCATCTTTTAAATTCAAATTTATTTTTGTCATTTAAAATAAAATACACTTAAAAAATGTAAAGGACTAACAAAAGTATGACCATAAAATGACCATTAATTCAAGTTTAAAATTGTTAATAGTTGAATGTTCGCGCTGACGTCACCAGTGTTTACATCATCCGGTTTTTATTCTTCTGTTATAAAAGAACAAAGTTTGTTTCAGGCAATTTTTAAAAATTGGAAATTAAAGTTTGTTAGGTTGGCGATCGAGTTTTGTTTAATATTTTTAAGTTTATGGTTTTTTGTAATAAAAAAACTTGGGGAATGTTAATTATTGTAGGTTTCGAGTGATAATAATTACCTTTTTGAGTGAAAATTACGGTTGAAACAGCCTGAAAAATCGGTTAAAATCCCTGAGGTTGGTACTGCGCATCGCGCTCAGTCGGTAAATAGGCGCGCCTTCGTAACCGTTTAGATATCGGCTGTCATTCTCGCAATTGCATTCAACCGGTCGTGTTCAACAGCCCTGTAAGCCCCCGATGTGCTTTTAGTGTTGTCTTTGTGCAGTGTTTAGGCCATGGCGGACGCCGACAGCAAGGACCGCTACGATCCCGAACTGAAGTATCTCTGTGTGGACCGGAACAACTACAACGACCCGGCCACCCAGGCCGAATGGACCCAGAAGCGGCTTGTATGGGTGCCGCACGAGTCGCAGGGCTTCGTCGCCGCCAGCATCAAGGGCGAGCGTGGCGACGAAGTCGAAGTGGAACTCCAGGAGACGGGAAAACGCACCACCGTCGCCAGAGACGACATCCAGAAGATGAACCCGCCCAAGTTCGACAAGGTCGAGGACATGGCGGAACTCACCTGCCTCAACGAAGCCTGTGTCTTGCACAATTTGAAAGATAGATACTATTCGGGATTAATTTATGTGAGTTTTGGGGATTTTGGGACGGGATTTCGACAAGTCTTTGTCTTTGGCGACCCGAAATCACAATCAGTCATTCGATACCGAAACCGGTGAAATTTTACCCGTTCTTAGATTCCAACGTCAGCTTTTTTCATACAGACGGTTCCTAGAATGGTGGTTCATTCTATGGGTGTTTTCCCAACTCATTCATATTTTTGCAACTACCGGTTATGTCAAAGCTTAATGCTAGGTTATGTGCACAAGCAAAACTCTTTAATTTGAATTTTTTTCAGTCAGGTGATGGAAAAAATTAACGTCTTGTGATTAGTTTTATCCGGATATTTATCAGAGTTGGTTATTTGATAACAAAATAGTCCAAAACAATGCATTGTTTAGAAGTCAGTAAGAACTAAAAATATTCAATTTTTGTCTATTCATAATTCAGTTGTGGCTTTTGGGTGTAAACTTACTTTTTCTAAAAATTGTCATAGTGACAGACGTAAAGTCTATTTTTTTTAAATGGAAATGCCAAACAGTATTAACGTTGGCATCACTAGTAAATTCATTCCTGGTAATTTTAATAAAAGAAGTTGGCAGTTCCGTTTTTTTGAATTAATTTGAAAACAATGTCATTAAACGTCAACACAAAAAATCGTCTAAGACAATTTAGGGACGAAACACCAAAAAAGAAACAAATTCGGTACACTAACAGTTTTTCGAAATTTGGAAACGAATAGTTCGCAAGCAGGAAGTTAGAAAAAGGGCCCGTTAAAATGTAGACGCAATTTGTAATGCAGGTTTGCTAAACATTCTCAATTTTTAGCAAGAAATTGACAAGAATACAAAATAAACATGAATGAGAAAGAACCTCGGAAAGAACGCAATTAAATTAGTGTCTTGTGCATCGTTTTTGAGGAACGAGTTGAAAAAGTAACAATTTTGAAACTAAAGCTGAAGAAGAATTTATATAATGCATCACCTTTGAGCTCATTTCAATAAATTACACAAAATTTATTGCCAATCATCATATTACCTACTTGTACCTTTTGCTAAATAACTTTTTTCTGTATATACATCCTTTTTTTTTAAGTTTTTGTTGCAAGAATCTCATTTTTGTCCACAGCATTGTACTTGCTTCTTTCCGGTGTGTTTCTATCAAAATTATAAGCACTAAATTCTGTCTTTAGACCTTAGGTAATGATGTCTGTCCTCAGGTATTCAATTATAGCGCTTTCAAAGAGCAAACAGGCACACAAGATTCATAAAAGTCAAAATTTTGACAACATCTTAATTTGAACACATAACCATAATTTTTTAACAAAACTTCTAGGGACAAAAACAAAGAGCAAACAAAATTTGTGGCTATGGAGACAAGCTGCTGCCAATTTTGTCACCAAAATTTTGACTTGGTAATTTCCATTAAAAAAAAAGACTTTAGGTTAATATAATTTGACCACACTTTTTGTGAGGAAGGATACACAAAGAATTAACCTCAAGAGTAAAAATAAACCGTTTTATCATTGTATTAGGCCACGTTTTTGATAACAATTTTTAGTATACACATTTATTTTATTATGCCAAAATTTTGTTCATTTTCTTGACATAGAAATAGACTAAAATAGGCTTTAAGTTTATTTGTTTTCTTAACTACTTTGGTCAAAAATATTCGACAATGAATGTTCGTAGATTAGTTTTATCTTCAGGAATGTTAATGGTTTTCTAACTTTTCTAGTCTGACGCAAATTTTAAATTAATCATAAACATTTATTTACAGTTTTTTGTCCAGCAAACTTAGTTCGTTATTGAGGGTTGTAGAATTCTGAAAAATGTTTAATAAGAGAGTAACAGTCGATGGAATTTCGATAACTTGGTAAATTCCAGACAGCTTACTCAACGTAATTACTTATGTTAATATTACACCTGTTCGGCTAGACACTTTTTATGTTGATGTTAATTTTATGTTCGAAAATTTGTCTCTAATATTTTACATTGTTTTACCTATAGCATTTTTTATATTTAATTAATAATCATTGTGGGTGACTGAGAACTTGTTTTAAAATAGATGTGCAGTATTGATTCAAAATTAATCACTCATCAAAATTCGATGTTATTAGTTGATAAAAGAAAAAAAATGAAAGTGGTTGAGAAATTTTTAAAATTAAGTAATGTATACAACAAGTTTCTTGCGATAAAGATCAGTAGATACACCCAGTCAATTGTTAAGTACTTCTCTACTACAATTTAACCATAATGAAATGACTATTAAAACAATATTTACATTGAAAATAATAAGTATTCTCTTTTACATTTTTAAATCAACCATAATTTCAAAAATTTATACATTGTATACCTTTTAATTTTACTACGGGGGTTGCTGAAGAAATTTTGAGATACAAGGCTTACGTATTTCAAACTATGATTTTCAAAAAATTTATTATGATTTTTTTTCAAGAGCACAAACAAGTATATGGAATGGCTATTTGACAAAATAGCTTCCTGAGGGTAAAAAAAAAGTTGAGTAGACATCATTTTGAATCGAAAGAAGCTTTTTTGTATTATAAATGACATGCATTAAAAATGTTGGCGTTAATGCTTTAAGAATTGATATTAAGAATACTTATGAAAGATGTAGGAAAAAATTATAATGTAAATAATTATAATACATACTTTTTTCTACGACTGCTATTGAATAACAATATCCTTTCTTGATTTTTAATTACAGAATAGTCATAATAATGCTCACAGTACGAGATATTTTTACACTAGTGTTTTTCGAAACTTTAGTCTGTAATTTTAGTCTTAGAAAAAATTGAATTTGGAACTTGTTTAGAATGGCATTTGCCTTCGTCTCGTGAGATGAACTTTGCCATTTGCTATTTTTACATCTCAAAATTTTATTAGCGACTCTCGTAGCTTTTTCCTTTATGTATATTATGATGGAAACACATTTACATAGATATTTATTTAAAAAAAATATGTTTTTATGCGGGTTTTGTTTATAAACAGTACAACCAGAAACTTGTTAAATTTAGTTTTTTATGAAACATCAAAAAATAATAAAATTGTCGAAATAAACAATGTATTTAGAAAAGGAATGATACCACATTTCTTCAGTTTTATAAATCGAATTATTCATCAAGAAACCTTAAGATTTTTCTTTTAACCCAGTTTCACTTCAAATAAAGTTCATGTAATGTTATGCAAGTAAAAATGATTGTTATTTTTTAAACGTGTCATTTCATTATTTGCATTAAGATTTCATCTTTTCATCTAACCAGGTTTTGTAATAAGAGATATCAATTATTGTTGATAGGTATTTGACGTATATTATTTAATTAGTTCCAATTTAATAAGATGAAAACATTCACTCAAAATAGATTTTATCATTTTTCTCAGTAATAAGATCGATTTTTATCATTTTATTTTTATTGGTAAATTTAATACGTTTTGACTGCCTATTTTAGTTTTACGATTTTATAATTTTTGGAGAAATTATGATTAAGTAGATGTTTAATTATTTATAATTTTGTAAATATAAACTTTATCTTTTGATAAAATTTATGTTTTATTTTTATTACTCTACTTTTAATTACGTTTAGTAATAACTATTTTGTTAGATGGTAACAGGTATTAAATTTATCAGTAGCAGCTTCCTACATTATTTTTTAACAGTTATTGAAGTTTAAGTTCTATTAGAAAACGAAAATTTCTCTCTCGTATCAAGATTCAGGAGTAGTTAGTTACTTCAAATAAGTGAGCCAAAATATGTAATTAAATTATTTTATTTTGGATCCTCTTTATTTTTGAGGGATTGCTTATGTTTAACTTGCTTTAAAATAGGACGTTGGCATTTATTATGAATATTATTTTCACACCGTCAACAATTCAATTATCAAAGCTATTAGCGCGGTTTTCGAATAATTTCATTGTTGCAATTTGCATAATTCTGAATGAAAATTGTTTATAAAACGTCGACACTTTGTCTAGTTAAGTAAGCGTTTGTATTTGTTCTGGCGAAAAACCATGAAACGATTTTCATTTTTAGATATTTATGTCACTTTGAGAAAATCGTTGAGACATAATACATAGGTATTTTTATTCTTGACGGATTTGTTTAAAATAGAAGTATCAATATAAATAATGGGGGTTTTGACAAAGGTTACGCAAAGTTTCTAGGTAAAAGACGCTGAGCTGATATCATGACGTGCGGTTTTTCCTTCCTGTTGATAAAGAAATCTTTTATGTAAAATATGACAAATATACATTTATGTAGATTTTAAAAAGATTGTTTTGCAGAACTCGAGAACTAAAAGAAATTTCGAAAAAAAATATTTTTGAGAAACGAACACCTTTTTATTGTTCTTTATTTAAACTGCACTAATTATTTTTTTCGTGAAAAAAAAACACTTGGTTTCACCCGGTATGTATTAGACTCGCTCAAGCCTCAATTAAATCTGTCATTCATTCATCAGAAAATAACCGTTTTGGATGTGTTTATATAAATGACTTTATTATAAACCTTAGAAAATACGTTACGGATCATAAAAAGTATATACTCCTAGAACAAACACGTAGGTGGTTGCCAATTTAGCTCATGACGTCTTTTCATGCAGACCACACGTTGCATTTTCCTCCTATTTGTGATTTTTCTCAAAAATTTCAGTTAAAATTTACCGACCTTGACAGAGCGGCGACCCATACACCAATGTATTCAACAGGTCGAAGTTGGCGTGGGATGTGATGTTCACAGCCGGCTAGGATCAGTGTGCTTCAAAACTTAAAATGTTTTGTCATTACACCACCTCATTTTTTTGTTCACGAGTTCAATTGATCCGACCGAATTCTTTTCTATTAAGTCGTTACTGGGATGAATTATTAATTTGGGACGTGATTTCATGGGGGCGTTGGCTGGGACAGGGGCGGAACGTAAAGGTGGGAGGAACGATTGTTATCGGACAAAAAGCAAAGATTGTGGTTTGTTTGTTTATGGGAGGAAATAAAAATTAATTAAAAATGGGTAC